TGAGGGATATAGGGATATTAAAGGTGCTGTAAGCAATATTTTTCTAACTTCTGCCAGATTTAGGTTTTTTGCTGTTTACACAAGAGACACATACTTTAATTTTGCAGGGCGTTCACTCCATTCCTGCACATAGATACAATCGAGATAAATGATGGAGAATGTAATGTCAGCTTTATTATTAGACATTGCTTTAAGGGGAGTAAAAACTAATTGGTAATTCCACTTACGCCAGTATTGTTGACTTATAACAAGTTATTATAATTTTCTTCCCAGTGAAGTAGCTCTAATATCTATGAATAGTTTTTTTTCTTTATTTTTTTTTAAATCTCCATCCTCATCTTTCTGTTCTTCTGGCTCTGGGTCCTGACTGGTACACTGCTATTTAATGGTTCAGAAAATCAGATTGCATAGGACTGGTAAACTTTCACCTCTTCATCTCAGCATTTCTACTGAAACTTCTCTCTCTTAACCTGTTTGTGTTAACCTGTTAAAGGAGAACTCCGGCGCAAAATGAACCTTTGGTCTAATAAAACATTGGTACCTAGTCAATCGTTCTCTGAGATTTGTTTTCATGATAATCAAATGTAAAGAGTTTTATCTCAAAAAACTGTTTTGTGTATAATGCTAGCACTGGGGGCATTTACTATGTAAAAAGTAACATAATGAGGGTCCCTGCATGCAAAAGCATTGAGAACTTTGTAAGCGTACAGACTGTTTAATAAGAAAATACTTTATAAAGACAGTCCACACAGACAGGAGCCATCTTAGAAAATAGTCTCTAAGTTAATTACTACAGTACATTTATTTCTATTATTTTCAATGTTAATAGTATTCAGTTGTAATACTATTTTTCAGGATTCTATAATCGAATGTTCAAAAATATATATATATTTTTTGTAATAATGTAAAAGTCTTTTAATCCATTTACTGCATCCTTGCTGAATAAAAGCATAAACAATCTTACTAACATTTTTCAAACAATCTTACAAACTGTTAAAAGGTATAGTGCATAGTCTATTATAATTATATCAAAAAAGCATTTTATTTCATGTTCAAAACATAATTTAACTCCAAGGTGAAATGGTAGTTTCATTAGGTTAAGCATGTTTTCCAAAAGTTATCACCTAGTGATCAGCCACTTTTTTGTTTAGCAAGCCCTTGAAATCTATATTGCATAAAAATAAGTGTGTTTAAAGCACAGAAACACAGTAATTAGTATTTTTGTTTGTTTGTTTGCACTTAATCTACAGATATGCTTTAGTGATGTTACAATGACTACGTTTACATGCAGCCAATTTTTGTGTTATGGTCAGGTTAAGGTCACTATTCGGGCTTCTGAAACATTAGTAATAAACCCGTTTACATGCGTAAGCAGAGAGAGTTTCTCCTGTATACATGGAATTGCAATATCCCGATGTAAACGGCGACGCGCGGTTAGCGTCTAGACATACGGACAAACTTAAGACGTAATGTCATTTCCGATTCTTCTTACAACAACAACAGCAGCATGCGGATAATGAATAGTTCGGGGAAGATAGCGATCGCCTTTGTTTGCGCTTTGATGCTGGTAACGTTACTGACCTCGCTCCAAAAGTATACTGTCCTGCGTCTCGCCATGTTTACTTCCGGTATACTGCATGCAAATTTTTGTATGCGCCGAGAAGTTTCTCTTCTCAAAAGACCAAGATTCCTTGCGAATAGAACATGCGCAGAACACAAATCACAGAGGGGATATGCCGATAGAAAAGGGTACCCCGGGTTTTTAAAATCCGAGATATGAGCAAATTCGGGTTTTTGCTGGTGTTTACATGGCAGTTCGCGACCGGGTTATTGCTAATATCCCGGTATTGAACGGGTTGTTGGCTGCATGTAAACATAGTCAGTGTCTAGTGCACACAAAGTGTAAAAAAACAAAAAAAAACAAGAAGAAGATATCATGACATAAAATGTCCTCTACCAAATGGTCGAGGTCCATTAAAGGGTTAATTGTCCAATTAATCTTGTTTATGTGAAAATGATCATTGTTTAATTACTTTGTCTTTGGCTTGTGCTCTGATCACCTGTCTATAACATTTCAATACGAGACGAGAGAGAGAGAGAGAGAGAGAGAGAGAGAGAGAGAGAGAGAGAGAGAGAGAGAGAGAGAGAGAGAGAGAGAGAGAGAGAGAGAGAGAGAGAGAGAGAGAGAGAGAGAGAGAGAGAGAGAGAGAGAGAGAGAGAGAGAAAGAAAAAATAGTGTTTCTGTGATGGGGACAGATTCAGATTGCTTTGAGGATGGCCAAGAAAAACAGCGATTTTGTTTTGAGAGAAGCATGTTTTGAGAGGCTGTGCAGAAATGATTGAGAAGTATAAAATTACCTCTTTGAAAAAGAAACACTGTAGTGCAGCCAGATTGCGGGGTGAGCGTGTCACATGCAAGTGCAGTGCATCTTGTAACGCACAGGCATTTGCAACTGTACTGATCAGCACTAAAGTGCTCCACTGTATTCGTCTGGCCCTTCCACCGCCTGCTGTTTGTAAATTCTGCCATGGCAAGCAGTGGTCACATTTGCATGAAATTGACTTGTTTAAATAACCATAAAACATTCATGCAAAAATAAAAAAAAACCATCAACGTTTTTGTTGTATCCGTATCATCACTCTCACATTCGTCGTGGAAGTCCATTAAAAATATCACATTATTCCTTCTGTGGGCGCGTTGAGCGTAACAGCGGTTGCAGATCATCTGAGGAATGAAAATAACTCACTGTGGAATGGAGACGGGGCAGAGATGAAGAGTTTAGTGGATTCATTCCACCGTCCGCTCGCCACATCTCATTCCATAGCCGTTTCTGCCAACTTTCGACATCTTTCTAATGGCATTAGAGCCAAATGCCAGCCGTTTTCAGCCATGGAGGACGTTTTTGTGCACTGTTGAAAGGAGGAACCTTAAAACAGCTTTGAATTCAGTTTAAACTGGTTTGGATCGAGATTATATTGAGCAGAGAATCGACTCCTGTCTTGTTGGAACTGTTAAATTCATTTAAAGTGAATAGGCCCAGCGTGAGAGGACCCATTTCTTCACTTTTTGTGTGTGTTCGTCAAGCCTGTGGTTATTGAAGGCTAGCCAGGTATCTGCAGCTGTGCCATAATCGATCAAGGATAGAAGCACAGGCTACTTGAAGAAGAAAATGGTCCCTGTGGAGCATAAAAATATAGACTTTTGACTAATGCGTGCTGTACACTACTCTGGTCGGGAACAATAGTAGACACAGGTTAGTTTATGATGATGTATTTTAATATACTTTTATCAGCTGTGCTTTAAAGCAGGTGAATTTAGCAATGTCCTCCCTTTTTTGCACGTATTTTTCAAGCTTTTGTGGTCAGTAAGAATTTTAGTGCACTACCATAGTAGGAAAAAAATAATAATAATAATACATACTATGGTAGTCAATGGGGAATGAGATCTGTTTGATTAAAACATTCTTCCAAATATATTCCTTTGTGTTCAGCATAAACACATAGAGGTTTGGAACAACATGAGAGTGAGTAAATACAGACAGAATTTTCATTTTTGGGTGAACTAACCCTTTAACTCCCGCATTGCGATCGGCATCTGATGAGTTTTGTCGAGTTGATAGCCGCGCGCTCTGTTGGTATGTGTTATTGATATTTTGCTGCTATGTAAAAAAAAAAATCCAGCAAAATGCGCCGGCGCGTTTGTCAACACCAGAGGATTAACTTTAGCCTAACCATGAATTGTGATTAAAATATACATAATCACTCTCATCAAGACGCCGCTGCAGTGGTGGGGTCCAGCGCGAGCTGTGTGGAGAAGCCCATGTCCACCTCTATTTCGTTACCATCCTGACCGCTGTACTAAACACTGATAAATCTATGCTAACTTGAAGCTATCCTAACTCTACTATGCTTCTAATGAAACTAACTAACTAGGCTACACAAAATAATCTAAATAACTATATAAATTCTATGCTAAATAGATACATATAGCTACAATACTCTATCCTGATCGTTTTCAATATTTGTAATTCCAACTCTTGACTCGCAGTGGTTTTGACGAAACAAGATGATTTTTAAACTGCCGAGGGTGTGGTAGCTGTGGCTCCAACGCATTCTCATCCTTTAGCGTCATATAGAACGCTATATGACAAAACGGCGCTATATTACGCACATGGCACCCGTTATCGTTAATATACTGTAACACGCGCTGTGAGGGCTAAGTTTAGGTGTGGGGTAGGGTCTGCGTGTCATATTCACGCTAAAGGATTTATGACGTCTTGGGTTCGCGTGTTATATTAACGATAAAGTGTGCCATGTGCGTGGTATAGCGCCGTTTTGTCATATAGCGTTTTATGTCGCGTTAAAAAAATGACAACGGGCTGGTAGCTCGTACCCAGGATGTGAATCCTGCTGAAACCTGCGTACGTCACGTAGAACCGCAAACATCCAATAGGAAAATTCAATTGCAGTAGGCATCGTTCAACCTGAAGAGGGCAGCACTAAGATGTTTTTTTACACCATATATTGTAGAATTAAAACACTTTATACACTGAAAAAAACTACTTGTAAGATTTACTTAATAAAATCCTCGTAACAATTTGCACAAGTAAATTTTAAGTAAATTTTACTGCTATAATATTAAGTACAACTCGCGTGCCATTATCAAGTAAAATCTACTTAGTATTGAACAAAACTCTCATGAAGAAATTAAGTAAAAAATACCCATTTACATTTCATTTAGAAGCTATATCTATTTAAAGTAATTAAGTAAAGTTTATTTATTGTTTTTAAATTAGGAAGCTTGCTTTTATGAAATTCTTAAGTAAATCTTACCATTTAATGAAGTAAAATAAGTAGATATTATTTAAGTTTTTTTGTTGAGATTTTCATTTACTACATATTTAAACATTTAAACATTGATAATTTCTTTTTTATAAATAATCATGAACATAAATAAATAATCATTTTCTCAATATTTTTCACAAATCACACAACTAAAATTCAATTAAACAGTTTATTTTTCAGTCATCAAAAATGTTCATACAAGAATGGACATTCAGTCATCTCTTGACACAGGTGCATTCAGTAAAACTGTCTTTACGGTATTGCTGCTTCCAGCATTTCCTTCCCTTCAAAAAGGATGGATACATCGATTGGATCTTCTCCATCAGCACCACGAACGACCAGTATTTTAATGCTGTGCTGAGTGATGTCACTGCCGCTGTCCTCCTGCATACAATTTAGAAGAAAAAATATAATTCTTTTGAGAAACAAAAATATAATGGCTTAAATTATTTTATTTGACTTGCATTAAAGGACAAGTTCGGTATTTTACAATTAAAGCCCTGTTTTAAGATCGTCCCTGATGAAATAGAATAGTTAAGATTGTTTTTTAGACAGATGCTCCGGTCACGAGAATTTTTGGATCCTGTGTTAGCACCCCCCCACCTTTATAATGAAAGCATAGGTGCACTCGAACAATCATTCATTAAAACGCATAAAACTTTAGTTTACAAAGACGTGAAACTCACAGAGTGGTCTGGGGTGTTCACTGATATGCTCACACAAAAATCGCTGTAAAAGATGCTTTCCAACAGGTTTTATCGTAGTTTTTGTCCAAGTCCATTTTCTTCCTGTTTTTGGTCGAAATCCACAGTAGTCAATTGTCGAGTTTGCGTGCGCGATCCTTAGTTATCTAGTTCGAGTTTGCGTGCGCGAGCCTTAGTTATCAAGTTCGAGTTTGCGTGCGCGATCCTTAGTTATCTAGTTCGAGTTTGCGTGCGCGATCCTTAGTTATCTAGTTAGACCGAAAACAGGAAGAAAATGGACTTGGACAAAAACTACGATAGAACCTGTTGGAAAGCATCTTTTACAGCGATTTTTGTGTGAGCATATCAGTGAACACCCCAGACCACTCGGTGAGTTTCACGTCTTTGTAAACTAAAGTTTTATGCGTTTTAATGAATGATTGTTCGAGTGCACCTATGCTTTCATTATGCATATGAATTCATGAAATGAATAGTGGAATAAAGTCATTATGTTTGCGCACAAAAAGTATTCTTGCCGCTTTATAAACTTAAAATTGAGCCACTGCAGTCACTGCATGACTACTTTGATGTCTGTATTACCTTTTCTGGACAAGGACGGTATATCATACATACATTGTATTTTGAAGAAAATGGGATATCAAACAGTTGACTGTAGCCATTAGAAATCTACTATGGAAGTCAATGGCTACCGTCATTTGATTACCAACATTCTTTTAAAATATCTTTGTTTGTGTTCATCAGAAGAAATAAACTCACAACGGTTTGGAACAACTTGAGTGTAAACAATGTTTACACAATGTAAACAATGACAATTTTTATTTTTGGGTGAACTATCCTTTTTAGGGTGCTATAAACTGGAGTGCAGTTTTCTGTGAAATAAATTTGACTCTGTTTAACCTTTCACACGCAACTTTAAAATATTCTAGCTGACCACCCAGTGTGCGACTTTCATTTTAAAATATATCTCCTTATTATTTCCATGGCGACGTTTCGTGATTGTGAAAATGAAAATGATGTCATTAATGACTCACCCTCATGTCGTCCCGAGCCCGTCAGAACTCTGTTCATCTTCAAAACACAGTTTATCATCTTCTTTATCGTCAAAGTAGAGAATGAGGCTGCGGATAACTGATTCCCATCTCAAGGCTTTGTGTCTGTGAACAGATTTATATTGTACCATTACACAACCTTTTATTCATACACAATGAACTCAATGACATCAAGTGAGAACACAAAAGCATTCATGCGCAAGGAACACTGATTTGAGTACTTAGAGCAAAGTGACTCTACTTCCTGTTCCTGTCTGCCTTGCATTTTGGCCAAAGCAGAACTGTCGCTGAAACTCTATCATCTTCAGTACAGATTCTTAATATTTGAAATTTAAGTTGTAATTTATGACTAAAATTCTAATTACTGAAATTTCTGAACTTTTGACTTTTGTCTGTTTAATACAGTAAAGCTACTTTAATGCAATCTATATTGTATTAAAAGCTATACAATAAATGTACATGCATGTATGAGAAATACATTAAGTATATCTTATTTAAAAAAATGTGAACAAGCACACTTTTGATCAAACACACCTGACTCAGTTTGTCCAGAAATGGCCTCAGTTGGTCCCCACAAGACCTCCCATGGCCTTCATCAGGGCAATAAGTCTTGATGTGCATTGGTCAAGTCTGAACATGAATCTCTGCCCCATGATCGATTCTCCTGAATTCCTCCTTGATCTAATGTGACAAAATGATTCAAGAGTACAACAGCAGAAATTTGGTTAAATAGACTGATGCAGGGAGCAAGGGTTAATTATACAAGGACTGTAGATATCAACAGTGGAGTGAACAATCCAGCACTTTCTTTTGTAATGTGCAAATCCAAAAGAGAAACACTAATTTGGCATTTCAATTTTAACTTTGAGTTTAGTACATTTCAAGTTTATTTATTTTTTCATGTGCTAAATCAGTTACTGTTGTCAATATTAATATTGCCCATGATTGCCACTCACGATCTCTATTTTCTACAATCAACTTTTAGAAACAGGATGATTTTAGAAACGCAGCCTGCTACTCATTAGACCTCATTTATGCACGATTTAGTGCGATTGAAAAAAAAAAAAAAGCTTTATGTGTAAACGTTCCATCCTGAGCAATATTCAGCAAGAGCATTCAAACTTTTCCATAGTCAACAGTATAACGTTAAGAGCGGTTGACATTAAATTGTTAATTTTAAGGCCCAATTTTAGCTAGCTAGCAGTTAAAACGGTAAAGATTGTCTACTAATTTCTACTTAGTTTGACATTTTTACACGAAAAACAGTTCTTTGTGAATCTATAAAACTATTGAAAACTTCCGATTCAATATAAATAATGTACGTTAACGTTAGGAAGTGAAAAGGGGTTAACGATACAGTATACTGTTATGGATAACCCACACGCGTTGCACTAATATGAGGCCATGTTGTAAGGTGAGCATTAATGTTTATTGAGTCAAATAAACAAGAATCATCAATCAAAAGCCACACAGACTCATGTTTTATTAAATGTAAAACAGAAAGACAAACTTACCTCAAACACGACAGAAAGCAGCCACGCAGCAGCCCGCCAATTCGTCTCGTCTCAGATCCAAAGTGCGCAGTTAGACTTGTCCAAACGCGCATGTGCGGATTCAAACGCGCTTTTCTATTAAATGCTTTTCTATTAAAATTTACTTAAAATTACTATGTTTATGTGAAGGGACTATAAAACGTTTAAATATTACAAGAAAATATATAATAAGATTTACTCTTTCCAACCAGTTAATTTATTACATGAATTAAACGCGTAGATATTTAAAATTTTACTTAGAAAATTCTAGTTCACATTGAATTTTAATTTTATTAAGTAAAAATTATGATGATTCATTTAATATATATTACTACACCAAAAAGTTCGTTTTTACAGTGTACCCAAATGTCAAAAAAGTTACCCAAATCAATGATCAGCACTACTAAAGCCCTATTCTTACAGATCATTAACTAAAAAAAGTTGGTTTAGGGTTTAATTACCCTTTAAGTGAGAACAAGAAGTTTAAAGCTTGCAGGGTTCAGTATGTTGACCGCCCGCAGCATCTTCTGGGATTTCTAATGGTTCGATTCTCTCACATCCGGGTACTTTTATGCGTTCTGTACTTGCACTCTTGCACTGATGACGTACGAGAACACAAGGACGCATGAAGTCTTGTTAAGCAATTTGAAGGTCCTCGTTTTAGTGATGAATAGTCATAGCTATGGTCATGGCTTTGTCTATTAATTTGTTTAACATCTCTCGATTGCCCCTTTGAAGGACAGCTACGCAGCTTATTTAAAGCAAAGCGAACATCTTGAAAATGTAGGAAATGTGAAAGATGGATTTTCAGAGGCCTGTAGGGAATGTACAGAGCCTCATCATCTTTCCTCTTCTCAATAAAAGGACAAATTCCTGTTGGCTGCATCCAACAAGTCAGTGATGGTAATTAAAAAAAAAAAAAAAAAAAAAACACACCAGTGAAGTATTGCACCCTGTTTTAGTCTGACAGGAGAATTGCAAAGGTTGCTCTGGCTGAAGAAAAAAAAAAGAAAAAAAAAACAATCTCTCTCTATATATATGTATATATAAAGAAGCTAAGTCAAGGTCTGCAGATCTGATCTGAGTGTGACATTGAAGTCAAAAAAAGGTATTTTGAGAGAGAGGACAAAAAATGTGACATGTCCTGACTGCTGGAAAGGCTCCCTAGGATGGGTTTGAAGTTGAATTCTCCTCCCAGGACCACAGCGGGATGAGAGATGAGGGGATAGTGCTAATCAAAAACCCAACACAAACCACTTTACAGGACATTTTGCTAAGATATGAATTAATTTGGTCTCATTCATTAAAGCTCCAGTCTGTAACTTTTTGGGATTAAAAAACATCCAAAATAAAAATTATTTTGGCTAGTAGGCTATATTGCTTGTGAGGATGTTGGAGGTGGAGATTTATAGCCTTTTCTCACAGCACTCGATATAATTAAACTGATAAATTTGATTGCGGATCCAGAAAGATTCAAACGACAATCACCAGTGACAACTGGAGATTCACCCGTTGTAAAATGAAAAGGCTTCGGAGTGGCTACAGAAAAAAAAGAGACTGCAACCGGCCCATGCGAAAATAAGGATACATATCGGAAGGGCTTTTGAAAGGTGGCGTGATTTGAGACCGCTTTTTTCTACAGGACAGGACAGGTAAAACATAAGCGATCGTTAGATGAAATCAGCACAATTTACTGCAATGCTTTTTTCATATGAACAAGTAAGTGGATGTTACTTGTTCAGATGAAATTTTCCGGTGAAAATTCTCATGTTCGTCATACTGTACTTCGAAAAAGTAGATAAGTTGATAATTCCTCGAATATCTGCAATTGCAGATTTTGAACAAAGATGTTGACAAAGAGGAAACCCTTGGGACTGCAGCTTTAATAATGTCATACATGTTGTGTTTGTTTGTGCACAGAAAGGAATCTCATACAATATTTTCCACCCTAATTCTAATGTTGATAATCTCCATATTATTCTAAATGAGGGCGCACATGCCCACAGGTACTTAGCACAATAATACACACCCAAACCATATGCCTGCAGGGACTTTCTGCTCAAATCCTGTATAGCCTTTTGTCAAACGTGTCTCAAAGTTCTCGACCGAGATTTATGAGTAGGCCAAGTCAAGTGTGCCATTCTCAAAACCAGATGAAACTTAGTCATCATCTATACAGGCCTATTCCAGGGGTGTTTTAACCTTTAGATGCCACTGTCCCTCAAATATGACGTTTCCTCATGTATTTATGCCCTTTTTAAAATATAAAGGCAGCTATATATTGGCGATTCTATAATTTAGGGTACAATGCGTGTCCACTGATGTTAAATATACTTCTACAATCAAATTTCTTCAAACAAATTGCATTTTATGTGTAAACTTGCTTCATGAAATAACATCACACAGACAATGTGTGCAATATATTGTGCATTTAATATGGCCCTAAATGTACAGTTTTGTCCATGTCCGATTTCAATGAAAGTTGAGGGTCCAAAAATATCCATTAAAATCATTAAAATCATTAAAATAAATCTTTTTTTTTTTTTTGCAATCTTTTACAAAACTCTTAATATTAAAGGAAAATAATAGTTTTAAATGTAAGTTATTTATTTAAATACTTAAAATATATTAATTTATTCATGCTCACAAAATGTTGGTCAACTATGTTACAAACAAAACCTCCCCCAGCAACACAAAAATGGTTTGTCCCAAGACCATGTGACCAGCACCATGTGATGTCATTTTCCTCTGTGGAGGCCATTTTAAACACACCATGGTGAGTCTCCTCTCAGTTTTTTTCAATATTTGATCTAGAAAAGTGTATTGTCAATGGCCATATTATTAACCATCAACTATGTTATGTACATTGTCATGGCTAAAAAGTTTTATTTATTATAATGAAATTTTGTGTTAAATTCTTACATTAACCTGCTAAAAAAAAAAAAAAAAATGTTAGCTAGGTTGACTAGGCTAAAGGTCCACCATTTCTGTTATAGGGAAGAAATATGGAAATTGTCAACTAAGTTATGGTCAACTAAGTTACGGTCAACTATCTTTTAACTAAGTTACATCAGTGACTTTTAATATATATATATATATATATATGTTAAAAGTCACTGAGTTACATCAGTGACTTTTAATTTAATATGACTTTTTAATATATATATTAAAAAAATGGTTAGTTTCAATCCTTGATTCTGATTGGTCAATAGCTATGCTTTGTTAATGATAAAACACGGTTTTGACCGCTTCACCCAATGGCTCTTTTTAAATAATAAGGTCTAGGTAGGTTAGATTGATAAGCTAACAATCAGTTCTTGTAAGCGGTAATTAAGATCAGAGCTACATTGACAAGGGACACATTTTATTGGCAAAGTAACTGGGTCAGAGTATATCACTGAAACGGCAAGGCTTGAGGGTGGCTCTCGGTCAGTATTGATGAGAATTTACCAACAGTGGTCCAAGAAGGACAAACCACACCCCAGTTGTTGGGCGCCCAAAGGCTTATTGATGCATGAGTCTGTCCCGTCTGGTCCGAGCCAACAGAAGGTCTACTTTGGCACAAGTCACACAAAATTGCAATGATTGTGTTTGGAGGAAAGTCACAACACACAGTGCATCTCACTCTACATAGCTTCAGGTCAATTAGAGTGCCTATGATGACCCCTGTCCACCATCAAAAGTGCCAACATTGGCATGTAGGTGTCAGCACTGACCTTAAAGCAGTGGCGGAAGGTTGTCTAGTCTGTTGAGTCTTGTTTCCTTTTACATTACAAAGACAGCCTTTATCTGGGGATTTGATGGCACCGGGATGCATTGTGGGACGACCACAAGCCGGTGGAGTGTGATGAACCCTGTGCCCAGCCATTCATGTGGATGTGAATTTGACAAAACATTGTTGCAAACCAGGTACACCCTTTCTTGACATTGGTGTGCCCTGGTGGACGTGGCCTCTTTTAGCAACAATAATGTACCCTGCCACACACATTGTTCAGGAATGGTTTAAGGAAAATGGTCAAGAGTTCAAGGTCTTGCTCTGGCCTCCAAATTCCCTGGATTTCAAACTAATTGAGCACCTGTGGGATGTGCTGTACCAACAAGTTTTGATCCAAGGTGGCTCCACCTCGCAACCTACAGGACTTGAAAGATCTGCTAGCCTCATGTGGTATTAAGATAAGCTGTCAAACAAATTGAACACATTTAATCTATCCCAACAATTTGTATTATCTTTCTTCCATCTTAGTCCAGGATAAGTCAGTGTCACATTTTACTAGGCTGCTTGCAATGCTGGAAATAAAATCTGTAACACAAGATAAAATGAAAATCTGTTTTGGTCTCATAAAAGCATGGTAGCAGCGGCAGTGCGTTGCTCTGACTATAGATAGTCTTGCCTCGATAATGTTGAGGGCGGCAAAACTAGTAAAGCCGTCAATCTGCCATTTGAACATTAGAACTAAAATTATAACATAATAATATTAATCCAGTTGCTTACCATTCCACACAGATTTTATGCTTGAATTTGTGTTCACTTTAATGGGGAATGAGAACCGTTGTATGAACACTATATGAAGAAGCAGAATGAAAGATGGATTTTAGTTTAATGCGGCTTTCCCAGTTGTACACCTCTTGTCAGTGTACAATGCCAGTGTAATAATGGAGTATGATAGAACAGCTGTCAAAGGCCTTAATTATAGCATTTTCTAAACAGCTAGAGGCAGCTATATATATAAAGCTCTCAGTTTCAATAATGACGATAAACTTAGAACGAGTGTACATCATCAGATCTCATTAGCTTCCGACACACTCTGTCCATCACTAATCTTAGAATAATACAAATCCCCTGCACCTGCCATGTAAATATCATATTTTATGTTTTGAATGTTAAAAGTTACTTCAAGACTCAAGGACAAACCTAATTATAGGCATAAAAAGTCACATTAGCAAAATTGCCTGAGTAATTCTAATTTGTTTTCTTTCTTTCTTTCTTTCTTTTTTTTTTTTTGTTTGCTCTGTTATAGAGTCATTTTTTACTAAGCCTGTTAAACATATAAATTTGAAACATTAAGTTGTTCATTAGACGCTGTGT